GAATAGCGTCTGTTTACTTTTCGCGTTTTCCTTGCAAAAGAGAATAAAACTACCTTACTCTCTCAGAAAGAAGTTACTGGACAATTCCTGCTGGAAAAGTAACCAGACACATCTAATGACAATTCCTTAATTCTAGGTGTGTCTGGTTACCCTAAAATTTTTAACAATTGTTACAAATTGTTACTGGAAGTCGTCTGTGTACCCGAAAGTTCTGCAAAAGAGAGCGGTTGGAGAGAGAAATTTTGACAGTTCTTTCAGTGAGAGTTTGCAAATGCGATTCGTTTGCGATTTCTAATTGCTTTAAGGCCACCAAACGAAACAAATAACGTACCTCTCACACGTAGTCACAAACTTTAAACATCTTTTCAATCGTTTTGTACTCCGAACAAAACCGCGAACATTTCAATGCCAGAAATACACAAACAATACGATTGCCTTAAAGCTGCCCTCAGACACACCAACAGTTGGCCCAACTTGTCACTTTTAAGTTGTATGAAAAAGTTGGTCGGTCTCCTCGCACGTACCAACTTTTAATACAACTGTTGTACCAACTTTTCATTTACAAAGTATTTTTGAAGCGTCAACATGAACTCGGATGCTCTTGCGCTACTTGGAATTGATATAATTTTAGAGGAAGAAGAAGAAAGACAACTGCAGAGAAAGAAAAAGCTTATGTATGTGCTGCTTCACCAAAGTCAAGACATAAATAAAGAAAACACTGAAGTTGGTACAACTTGTCCTCGCACGCACCAACAGTTGACCCAACTTACGAAATTATCAAAAATTTTTGATATTTCCAACCAACTTCAACCAACTTTCGAAAAAGTTGTACAACTAGCCCTCAGACGCACCAATAGTTGTACCAACTTGTCACAAGTTGGGCCGACTGTTGGTGTGTCTGTTAATGTGCTTCGGCCGAACTTCGTTCGCAAAGGATACATTGTCCATTGTATGATGGACATAATAAATAAATAAAAGGCATGAATTGAACTTAATATTAGTTTTAAATGTATTTGTAATGAGTTAATATGCAGGGTACTGTTTCGTTTCCAATTTTGCGTACGCCGAGTACATTTCAGTTTTGTTTTTGTTTTCACTCATCTACGTAATCAAACAGTACAAAATAAAAAAACAAGTCCCGTAATCTAATATCGGTTTTGTTTCATACTTCGAGAAAATACAGAACGAAGAGATTGCAAACGTTTGATATAGTTTATTTTCGTACCCTGTTTAAGATCACTAAGACAATAATATAGAATGGCTATTTTAGAGGTCTCATTATCAATAACGCATTCCAATGCCTTCATGATACCAATAAGCTCAGCTGACATCGAAGGACCGTTGTAATGTTGGAAAATGCGAACACTATACCATGGCCTTCGTGAATAAGGGCCGAACCAGAGAAATTGGGGAAGACAGAACCGTCTGAAAAAATAATTTCGAAGCACCTACTTTTACCGTTGTTTGTTTTCTGACTAATCCGGTTCTTCCTCAATGTCCAGGTTTAGGAATTCTGCTACCTTTATGGGCTGTAGCCATAGATCCTTCGGACGGAGTTGGGTAGGTTTGGCTGGACAATTACACAGGTGCAGCGTATTGTGCGGGCCTGTTTCGCACGCTGGGCAGGCGTTTGGCACATTTTCCTCAACTCGTGCCCAATACGAATTGAGACGGCTGCACCAGTATGAATGCTATTCAGACCCGCTTGATAGGCTTCATGATCTAGGGGCTCTCTTTTATATCGCTGGACCTCTCTCTCTAGATCATGCAGGTCCTTCCTGACACGCCTGGGTGGGGGAGTTCTGTCCACCATGTGGTGGTTAGGGTGACTCCCACGATAACACCCAAGCAGGTACTGCAACGAAAGCATATGATTATGCTGACGTAAGGCAAGAACTTTCGTCTCCTCATGTAAATGTTCCACAGGAGTCATGAGGAGGCACTCTGTTGCAGTTCTCAGGGCGCATAGCTGATCACAGACCGACCTATCGCTTTATAAGAGGTCAACAAGGCTGCCGGCTAGCGCCTTGAGGACCCCCTTGTCCCTACTTTTCATTTTATCGCAAATAGCTGTGGCTTGCGCGGAAGACTTGAACATGCTATCGAATGTGACCCCAAGGATTTTGGGGTAGTTGGTGGTCGGAATTATGTGCCCCTCGACCTGCACATTCAGCTGCGTTCTAATCTCCGCAGTCCATGTGGTAAATAATGTGGCCGTGAAATATTGGCATCCAGAAGAGATCTGGCGGGCTCAAACTCCCTTTGAAAAACAAGCAAAAAGAAATCAACCTCGTATTGGAATAAAACACAGTTCTCCGACTGAATTTTATGTAAAGAGACTGTGTATGCGTTAAAGAGGAGTGGTCTCAATGCGCTCCCTTGAGCCAGTCCACCATTAACGGTTACGACGCGACTACCATGAACGAATCCTGTGGAGGAGATAATCCCCCCGTCGTTTACTCCCAAACTTTCTAATTGAGATTTCAAGATTTCGACACAAACGCAATCGTAAGCATTTACACAGAATCCTAGTACGTGATATCCTTTTGATTTTAGAGCGTATACCATGTTAATTAAGTCATTAATACATATGGAAGTCGAATGGCCCGGTCTGAATGCATAAAAACTTGTTGGAGCAGGTGATTGTATTCGATAAAATTTTTTAACAATTTTATAATCATTGATTCTAGGCATTTAAGATGCACAGAGAGCAACGATATCGGCCTATGGTTTTATATTTTAAAGGGGTGCTGTTCTTGTTTCGGGATTAATGAAATTTTAATATTCCTCTATTCCTTTGGGTTTTAATCGCTTTTCCAAATGTTGCAAAAAATATTGAAAAATGCATGAAGCGGGGAAGATGATGGTATTTTTAGGTAATCATATGATATCAGGTCTGGCCCTGGAGCCGAAGCATGGTTTCTTGATTGAATAAAAATTTGAAATGTCTCAAAGGGAAATTTTGGTAACTCAGTGTTTGAGGGTGCTAATACGAACGTATTCCTATGACCTTCAGTAGGCCTCTCTTCAAAAACGTCAGTCGAATCTTCAGGAAAGTCTAACACAGAGTTGTCACCAGATTCTTCCGCAGGATTCTCCTCTAACCTCACCAAGCAGTCCTCCCTTAAGATGTCAATATATTCCTCTGTCAAATCCTCTCCCATATCAGGATTTTGTTGATGCACAGCTACATTGTCTCTACTGGTAGCAGTAGCTTATAAGTCAGGGAATTCCCCCTCTTGCTCTTCGTCTTTGAACCCCGACTCTGTAATAAATGCAATATCAATAATATATTTTTTTAAATTTATTCTTCAATTGCAAAACATTCATGAAAAAGTAAAATCAGAAAATGTTTTGGTCCTGGAATACTTTTCTTCATCGACTGAAGATCCATTTGGGTGCGACTGCTGTTCATTTCATTTCTAATTCTGTTAATGAGACTTAATTGTTCACTATTAGCGAAATTTGGTATTGTTAGGACTTTATTTAGCATATCAGTAATGACTTACAAATTCAGAAGTTTTATGAATTTCAGAAAAATTTATGGATGAACAATTTGGTATTACATAGGTCTCGCTTTCCGCAAGTGCCTTGCAATACTGTTGTTGTGCCAATCTAGCATTCTTCTCCGGATTCTAATTTTATTAATTTTTGCAACTTTATCATAAGATTTAATTTTGTGAAAATAACTAGCAGATTCAATAATATTATGTGGTAAAAATTTAGAACCTCTTTCTAAAGTTTGTTTAGGCTCTGGAAGAGCTGGAAATTTATCGTCTAAAAGATAGAAACCAATTTTACATATATTTGCTTTTCACTTCACTATACGAATGCACCTTCATACGAGCACCGCCATAAATTTCAATGTTATCAGGCAACGAAAGCCCTTTAAGATTTGGTATTCATTAGTTCGTCCTTCTCCGTTCAAATTAAAACAAAACCGTTCGAACGCGATAAAATATTGATTTTTTTGTTCATATCTGACCCTTTATATATTATTCGTATAGTTCCATTTACCCAAAAAAAGTCTCTGAATAATATTTTTGTCCGTTTTTTTTATACTACCCAAAAAAGACTACACAGCTTATGAGTAAATCAAAATAAAATAATAAAAAAAATATGCAATACAATTGCATTATAATTGTACATTCCAAAAATCAAAATAAAAATGTTCAAATTTCGCATTTTTACATTCACGTTCACAATTGGCATTTACTTTGAAATCAGCTGGTTTTATCGGATAACCATGGCGCAATAACAAGTACTTCCTGAAAATTTTAAAAGCTAGATAAAATGTATTTTTTTTAATTTCGGCTTATTGTTTATCTTTTGTTCTGTTATTTCAATCACAATAATGTATTTTGACATTAAATTTGTTTGTCAGTTGAACTGATGGATAGGCTAAGGGTGGGCGACTAAGCTGCTGGCAAATAGAAACAATGAACAGGTCGGGCTGGTGACTACATATATCGATAGTCAAGCGGCCCTGAAGGCTCTAAATTCATTTACAATCAAATCTATGGCAGTTCTGGAATGCAGGAACGGGATGTAATGTCTCCAAGAAGATTTGGCCGGTGAACTCCGCAAGGAGGTCAAGGTCACTTATATCCGTGACGAAGCTGGACTTGAAGCTTGGGGTGGGCCTAATTACTGGTTAAGCAAATTCTGCTGGACTTGTACTCCCTCTCCGACACCGAGCCAGCAGTCATTCTTCAGTTAGCCAGAAGACTAAAATGGCTAAGGCGACACGTTAACACAACGTGGATGCAAACCTACTAACTTCTCTGCTATTTATTCAGATTCTTACTTCTTCACTATTCATTTTCTTTTCTTCTTAATTAGGATGAACATAATGGACCAAAAGGTCTCCGAGTGGAGTGGTTGCTTTTTTTTACAACGCGCATCCTTTAACCTAACCTAAGCCCATCTGACAAATATGTTTGCTGTAAAAATACATGTTGTTGTTGTATTGATTTGGTATTAAAAGATTCAAATAACAATTGTGTACAAACTTTTAAGTTTATTGTCAAAGCGTTGTCAAATGTATACTTCTTGGACGTCCTTATGTAGGCCTTGACTGAAGGATAAAAAAAAAACATATTGAAATATGTATTTTGAAATCTTAATTAACATTTTAGTCATTTAGGGGCAAGCATAGAAATGTATTTATAAGTTAAAACTAAACTTGCTCACACTGTACTCTCTTAAATTCCTCCGGCGTATTTTCAGTACTGTATTCATTACTTTGCGCCTCAATTACAGAAAATTCCATCGAATAGCTTTAGTTTTTTTTTTTTTATAGTAAACTGAAGTAGTTCATTTTCATAGAATTCATAATATTTCAGTAGAAGTAAAACAATATACATTATTTAGGATATAAAATATCATAATGACCAGGTCGATAAATTAGAAAAACTTTAGGTGTTTGTCCTTCTGGAAAGTCATGAGCTTTTACAGTACCACCTTCTCCCCGATCCATATACTCCACTCGTACGCCTACTCCGAGAGCAGAACAGAGAGCAATGATGTGAATATGATCCGACTCTTTGTACATGGGTTCCACTTCCTGATGTCGAAATTCCTCAATGGTAAAATTGCCTTCAATAAAGTTTTGGTAAAAATCAGCCTCCTCTTGAAGTTTTCCTGATGTGAGCAACCTCAGGTATACCACTACGTAATCAGAGTACCCTTGGTCATTAAATATTTTGTGTAACTGTTCGCTCAATATGTCTGGATTGGACGTAGACGGATCCACACGCTTAACAACTTCCATAAACTGAAATTACCGTAAAACTCTAAAATAGTTCGAAATTGTAATGTTTCTTCTTACAGTTTCGTGAAAATCCTCCAGCGTAAAACTAGGAAATCCTAATTGTACTAGTTTGTCTTTGGAGTTTTCGCCTAACTGCCGAAACTTATCATAGTCTTCCTTGTTCGAGATTAGGTGTTCCAAGTAAGCATACGCAAAAGCTCTAAAAAAACAGTTTCCATCTGGACGAGTACGCCTAAGATGCGAATATTTAGCGGACAAATCTTCAATTTTAGATGTAAATACAGCATCCCCTATATATTCGGCATTCAAGCAGTTCACCGGCAACTTTTCACTAACCAAAGGAATTGTGTCACTTATCTATGGAACGACATATACACATATTGATGAGACATGAAATTATCAAAAGTAGGGGCCTCGTCTGGTTGCAATCGCAGACGAAATTCAAAAAACCCTTAAATACCTCTCTTTCGATATCCCTTTGCTGTTGCATTATCAATTCATCTCTGTTGACGTTATCGTTTTGTTCATTTTCCATTTTTTGCTTTTTTTTTAAGAAATTTTAGAATACAATATCAATTTAAGTCTCACAAAGTACAGTGTCGCATTTTATGAATATTATCGGCGGCATTCTTGTTTATATTAGAGGTCTATAGGGAGACTTACAACTGAATGGACAATGGCCCATGACACAATTACTAAAGGTAGAACCATGGCAGAAAGATACAGGTAGATGCATCAACGTTTGGGAGCATTGATATGTCAAAAATATTTAAATGTTTAAATATAAGTAGATTTTTATATGTTTTCTTATACTACGTCATTCGGATGCTATTATAGTTCACGTTTTTCAACAATGTTTACAAATTTAAATATTTTTTCATTCAACATTTTCAATTTCAAAATTGGTTTGACAGTTCATTGTCCCAGAAGCTGTGTCCATATCATAATTACAGAAGGTAGAATAAAGCTACCTTTGTATATGTGTGTATTGTTTTGAATAAAAAAGACAATAAATTATATCAAAATGTACAATCTTGTTCTACTATCTTGAATCAATATATAAAAATCGACTTATTTTTGACAAAGCACTTAACAATTTTAGACATATTAATGATCCCAAACGTTGGTGCATCTACCCAAGGTACAATGAAGAAAAGGTAGGCCACCTTCGAAAAAATTGCAAGTATAGAGGTCTACTTGGTTTAAAAAAAAGAATACTTCTTAAAATATTTAATTTTGATGCTTTCACATCATTCCCCTGAATGTATAGTTGTTAGCTGTTGGTCCTAATCTCTCAACACTTCAAACATACATACATAAAGTATTCTACATTTTGCAAATTTAGGAAACATGAAATATACGAATATATTATCTAACGTGGTGTTGATGTCGCTTTTTTGTTTAATTTTGAGATTAATTGTTAAAGGCATATTTAGCAACAAAACAAACAAAACAACAAAGTCACGAAAGGTTATATGAAAGAACGAACGAATGTTAGTGGAACGCATTCTGATACGAAAGTGAGTGACAAGCTTTCGTTCGCACAAATTTTCTTTGGATAACGCTTTTCAGCATCTATTGTTTCAATATTAGCTTTTTGATACATTATTGAAAGGTATATTAACTTTGTCATTCAGTTTGTAAGTCCTCGAAATATTTATAATAGACCCTACAAAGTATATATATATATTCTGGATCAGCATAAAATTCTAAGACAATCTAGCGATGTCCGTCTTTCTGTCTGCTGTAATTTTGCATACATGCATAGTTTAGCAGTAGGCAGGTTAAGTTTGTAAATAGGCCATGTCGGTCCACGTTTTCGTATAGCCCCCATAAAACGGTGCCTCTCGATATTCGGCATTTTCATGATTTTAGCGACAGTATTTATCGAAATTGTTTCAAATTTGGTATTTGGAGTTCGTAATGGGTACTACAGCCCATGGCTCAATAAGAAAGGATGCTCAACTTCAAAGGAACTGAGAAAATGCAACTCAGTGCTAGTGTCTCATAATGTCAAATAGACTTTTAAATATGCAACAGTCGGTTTTGTTAATTTTTTAACTAAATTCTTATACTGAGAAAAAATCGCGCAACTAAAATGGAATTTTGGAGTTATCAACAAGATTGAATCTAAAATGGTAGGACAATACAGTTTTATCCCAAAATTGTATGTATATAAAAGATTTAATATACATTTATTTTGCAACCGAAATTGAAATAATTACAAATTATTGTATTTTTTATTCAAAACAACACACATGGTACAATAAGTAAGGTAGAGCTCCCAGCTGATTACAATTTTTTCTAAGTGTGCCCGACTTCTGCCAATTTTGTGTATGTATTTGTTGTTTTGAAAAATACAAACAAAATATTTTCAAAATCAATGATTGGAAGAAACCTAAATTGCGGGGCGCGCATTGATAATATTAACCAGATTTTCCATGGAATTGAAGGATTGAACACATAGGATCATATTTTTGAGAGAACATCCAGATATTTCATTCATCTTTCGCGCTATTTTAGAAATTACCAAAAAAAAAATCTAATAAATAAAAACAACTTGTTGGATATAATTTTGAATAATTCTGACAGGATGCGGGCATAGCCTCAGAGCTGTATTTCTGTAATTTTACGAAGCTGTTCTACCTCCTTATTGTACCATGACAACACATACACATACACAAAAGGTGTATATGTTTTGACAGAATAAAGGTGCAAGTACATAAAAAGTTTGAAGTCATGCCTAGGCACATTAATGTCAAATTATAATGGAAAATAACGGCAGGATTTTAGTGCGTCTCTTTTATCCCTTTATGAAAAGTCACAATATATGCCTAGCCATGACTTCAAGCTTCTTTTTTAATTACAGCTTAAGGACACTAAAAGAAAAAATTGTATTTAGGGTGTAGTTTTGTTCTAGCTTCTGTAATTGTTCCATGCTTCAGTCTATGACAAAAAATATCGTAAGCAGTTCCTTGTCTCCCTATAACAGTTCTCGTTTAAGTAGTAGTTTCCGGAAGTTTTTTTTAAATATTTCAAATGGTATTCAAAATTCAGCCCGGCCGAACTTTTATGCTTCTTTACTTGCATTTGTATACGTTTTGCATCATCTCTTGGTGGTGCATTTATATCTTCCTTTATATGAAGTTCACATGGTACATGATTCGCTCTCTATTCCTCGTTCGACACTTAACTATGAACGAATCACTTGATTCTTGAAGATTAGAATTCAAATAATTGCTCCCGGGAAAAAGCCAACAATAAGGAGGAATAAAACATTGTTCATATATCTGGTAAGTAAAAATTATTTGGCTATTGCTTTCTACCATAGTATGGAGCGTATATTAATCTCAAAGTTTCTATTACAGCTTTTGAAGAAATGCGAGTATTTTCTTCTCAAAATGGAAAGAAAAAAGGAATTAATAAAAAAACTAGTGATAAGCCGTCGAAAACTTGCAAATGTGACATTGTTTGGGCATCCAGCTCCAATATTAGGACGTTGACTTGGGATTCAATGTATCACTTGCCTCGGAAAGATTGTGCTGGCGAAAGGTAAAATTAAGAAATATGTTTTTGTTATACCCTTCACCACACTACGCAATTATGCATTTGCTCTACTCCATCCCATGGTAGAAGAATATAGGTAGACGCGTCGACACAGCTGCTGGGACAATGAACTGTCAAACAAATTTTTGAATTGAAAATGTTGAATGAAAAATTATTTAAATTTGTAAAAAATGTTGAAAAACGCGAATTATAATAGCCTCCGAATGACATAGTATAAGAAAACATATAAAAGTATACTTATATTTGAGAAAACATTTAAATTTTTTTGACATATCAATGCTCCCAAGCGTTGATGCATCTACCTGTATTCTTCTGTCATGACTCCATCCTATATGCTATTGTCTTTCATGTTATATTTAATTTACAAATATATTTATTGCAGGAACGATCTCAATATTTTTGGGAAGTTGATTGCCAAAAAGGTGATGACTCCTTTTTTAAAAACAATTTCCGAATGACTCGAATGGTGTTCAAACAACTATGCCTGTTACTACATGGCCTGCGCAAATGTGACACGAACATGCGGGCAGCTATACCACTAGAAAAAAGGGTTGCAATAGGACTATATGCCTTAGGTTCCTCGGCAGAATATAGAACAATTGGAAACATGTTTGGCATTGGAAAAAGCACAGTCTGCTCAATTCTTTTAGAATTTTGAAAGTTTTAGCTCCAATGTACTTAAAAAAATTCCCATTAACAAAGAATAAAATAGAAAACCTATGACAAGAACTTGAAGCCTTGGGATTTCCTCAATGTATTGGTGCTATCGGTAAGTTATTCATGCATTAAAATTAGCAGAGGTAATGTGTACGTGTATAGATGGCTGTCATATAGAGGTTCATCCCCCAAAAGAAGACGCTACTGATTATTATAACCTTAAAGGGTGGTACTCAGTTGTACTACGAAGTAAAACACATTTTTAACTTTTGTTATAAACCTTAATAGTCTTTAAGGTGTCGTTTCATTTATGTCAATTGTGGAAGTCCTGGGCGCTGAAATGATTCCCAAATTTTTGAAGGGTCTTGTCTGAAGAAAGAGTTGGAAGAATGCAAACTATTGACGGACATGAAAAGAAATATATCGAATGTAGATGTTCCCCTTTTTCTAATTGGAGATTCTGCATTTAAATTGAGTGATAAACTGATGAAGCCATATCCATTCCAACTATGCCAAAACCGGGAACAGAAATGTTTTAATTATGCCCTATTGAAATCCCGCAGGTTTGTGGAAAATGCTTTTGGGCATCTTAAAGGCCGTTTTAGAAGAATCGGAAAGGGAATTGATAACGCATTAAAACATACTAATTTAATTATATTATCTTCCTGCGCTCTCCATAATTTTTTGAGTGATCATAATGACGTAGTTAACGGCAAGTGGTTGGAAATTTTGCAGGCGTCTGAAAAATATCGTTCGTACCCAGACGAAATCATGCCCTTGTCAGATCAAAGCACTGGTCGTCATGCAGAAGAAATAAGAACGGCACTTTCAATTTACTTCGGTAAGTATAAGTCGATTTTTTGGAAAACATAATTTTTTAATTCTTTAAAATTTCTTCTGCAGCACAAAGCTCGTGTTATGATAATACCGAGGAGGACATATAATATTTCTATGGAGAACCGCAATGAATGTGGCAGCAAGATATTCACGCAATTTGAAAATTTTTAGATTAGAACACGAATCTAAGAACATGTCCGGAATAAACGTAAACATATTTTCAAATTTTGTGATGCATCCATAATATGAAAAAACAATAACAATGGAGTAAAGATTGATAATTTTCAAAGTACAAATTGAACAACGTAATAATTTTTATGCTTTTAATATATATGTATTTGAGTAAAAAAATATATAAACATATAAGATACAAATAAATTACAAAGAAAGATAGAAATTATAACATTATGGTTCAGATGCTTTAGTATTTTTTAAAAATGTTATCAACGCTTTTTGTACCTCTGCCTCTCTTTCCAAAAATTTCCTTTCTTTCCTCAATTGCTTCCTTTTTTTCTATTTCTATTAAAACGTTTATTTTTTCTATACTTTTTCTACATATTATTTGTCTCTTTTTCTCTTCCTGGATGATGATGAAGTTGAAGGCATTTCTGTTGGGGGATCTGGAGAATTGCATATGAAATGACTGCTGAATGTTGAGGCTTGTGACATTTCTGGTGAGTAGTCTGGGGGATTTGAGATGTATTGATCAGTGATCATGGGCGGTGATGAAGGGGGTGAATATTCTACGGTAGGTACGTCGCACGTCAAAATGCTATTAACATCTGTAAAAAGAGATAAATCAAAATAACAATTGAAAGCCTACCAAAAATCATTAAATTTTTGTCCGTTCTAAATGTATTCGCATTCGTTTCTACTTACTATCTTTATTATCCACAACCAGGAACTCTGTATTCAAGTTCTTGCACGGCGCTAGGAGGATCTCTACATCCTTGTACAGGTCCCACTCCGATGGCGATCCCCCAGTTGTGCCAATTTACGTTTTTCCCTCCTAAAAAAACTATTAACAAATTATTAACGGTTCTTTCAAAACATACCTATAGCTCGCTGTTATGTTATGCATTTTTGTTTGTAATTCACAAGCCGTATATGTAAATCCAATTTTTTTTTAATTCTTCGGTCATCTCTTTTAGAATATGACTGTTTTTGCGACATCCTCGTAGTTGGCCCATATAATTACTCCAAACTTCCAATAGAGCTTGTTCGGCTCTTACATCCCACTTGCTGGGAGTTTTTCGGCTTCCTAAATTTGACAAGAACGCATATATTTGCATATTACAATTATTTTACTTACCTTTTGCATTGAAATTGTTCATTTTATAATTTAAATATTGAACGGAAATATGTATAACTATTATTGAAACGACGAAGTGGAATTGTCCAAATTAATCACGAATGTATCGTATGAACGAGTTAATTCGTGTACGTAATTCTGAGAGCGAACAACGTGATTGGACTTCCAATAGAGCTTGTTCGGCTCTTACATCCCACTTGCTGGGAATTTTTCGGCTTCCTAAATTTGACAAGAACGCATATATTTGCATATTACAATTATTTTACTTACCTTTTGCATTGAAATTGTCCATTTTATAATTTAAATATTGAACGGAAATATGTATAACTATTATTGAAACGACGGAGTGGAATTGTCCAAATTAATCACGAATGTATCGTATGAACGAGTTAATTCGTGTACGTAATTCTGAGAGCGAACAACGTGATTGGACTTGTAATGAGAACATAGCATTAGCTGGTATCAAACGATAAGGGGTTTACTTATGTCCTGTCACTATTGTTATTTATGTGTATTTTTGAGTGTATGTGAAAATTGCCATTTTACATATGACTCATAATTCTTACTATCATTGCGATTATATTGTATTTTCTCAAAAATTATAATACTTTATGGATGACTTTTTACCTCAAATTTAATTTTATATTATAGACAAACAAGACTTTTGATTAAATTATTTTGTTCCGATAAAAAAATGATCGTTGTGATCGAAAATGCACATATGTACTTTAATTATGTATTTCTCAACTGCAATGTCGTCCATGCTTTACATGATGTGTGCAACTGCTACGTATAGAAAATTTGAGACTACATATGAAAACTCTTATTTTCTAATAGAAGATTTAAGATTAATCTACTGAAACTAATATACCTAATGGATTAATCTTCAATAGTATAAATGTGCTTTATAAAGGTACGGTCACACTGGGCAAATATTTGATCGAAATTTGTTTTCCCATATTTGACTGAACAAATGTGAAATTCATACAGAGTTGATTCGATGTTCACATTACAGTCAAATATTTGACAGATTTTGTTTGTTCAAGCAGCCACCAAACAGCGTCAAACAGTGCTATGGGAAAACATGTTTGACACATGTTCACATTCGTAAAATATATTTTCCCATTAAATTGTTTGATCAAACTGTGAGGAAACATAAATTTATTTGGCCAAGAGAAATAGACAGAGAGAGTGAAAGAGAGACATAAAGAAAATGTAGTTTCGGGTATAATTTATTTGGAGAAGGGAAGCAAAAGACCAGCTGTTGTGGAATAAATTCCTTGTTACAAAAATTTTATTTTGCATTTTTGTTTGTATCATGGTAGAAGAATACAGGTAGTTACATCGACATAGCTGCTGGGACAATAAACTGTCAAAACAATTTTGGAATTGAAAATAATGAATGAAATATTATTGAAATTTGTAAAAATTGTTGAAAAATATATATCATTGCAACCTCCGATTTTTCGCCGTATAGGAAAACATAGAAAAATCTACTTATTTTTGTCAAAACATTTCAAAATTTTTGGCATATCATTGTTTCAAGCGTTGATGCATCTACCTATATCTTGTTCCAGAACCTGCAAGAATCTAATAGTTTCGCAATTTTCTTCGATATAATAAAGAGAAAATCGGTTATCGTAGTAAAAACACTTACATTCTGGCAGTTCTGGAACAGACCAAATATACACATTTTTTACTAAACATTCAAATTCAGTTAGTTCAAAAATATCAAATAAACAAAACCACTTATTGCATTCGTTTGTTTTATTTTATTCATTAAACATCATGTTACAAATGCTCCGGTTGTTAAAGCAAAATGCTGCCCAATGTTTTAAACTGATGTTTTTCCTTGTTTGACCTTACAAATCATTTGCACCGTCAAATAAATGTTTGACCAAAAAAGAGCAAATAATTGATCATATGTGTTCACATTATGGACACAAAATCAGCTGTTTTTGTATTTACCGTCAAATAATATTTGATGGTCAGATTGTGACAAAGAAATATTTCACATTTTTCGTCAAATATTTGCCCAATGTGACCTTACCTTAAGTCTCCGGTACAGACTTGCATTGAGTTAAGTTGCAAGTTGAGCAACCTTTCTGGTTGATTCATGACAAATCATTATTATGTTGCAAAACAGACCTGAGTGTAATATTTTTCGAAAAACCATTGGTAAATGCATGGTACAATAAAAAGGTAAGGTAGAGCTATCAGCAGTTTACAATTTTTTTGTAAGTGTGCCCGACTTCTGCCAATTTTGTGTATTTATTTATTGTTTTGAAAATGAAAAAAAAAATATTTTCAAAATCTTGTACATAGCGGCTCGCGCATTAAGGCTATTAACCAGTTTAGCTGTTCTACCTCCTTATTGTACCATGAGTAAATGAAATAACATTATTGTTGTTTGTTGTTACAGAAATGACGGGAGTCTGAAGTTGCTTACAGTTTTTCAACTCACCCTGTAGGTAGCTTTACACTTCGTTGTAAATGGCACACTAATTTTTGGATGTTGACTTTCAATTGAGGATTTTGTTGTTGTTGTAGCAGTAGTACATGCATGTGTTTGCGTTCTGCTAATCTGGTTCCAGCTCCAGGTGTAGAAATTCGGCTACTTTAACGGGCTGTAGCCAGAGATCTTTTGGAGTGAGCTAGGTAGGTTTGGCTGTGCAATTAAAGAGGTGTAGCGTATTGTGCGGGCCTGTATCGCAAGCCGGGCAGGCGTCATGCACATCTTCATCAATTCGTGCCAAATACGAATTGAGACGACTACACCATCCTGAACGTAATTGCGCCAAAACTACCCTGGTTTGTCTAGGCAGCTGACGTTCTTCAGCTGCAATGGGGTGGACTCCGAGGACGGCATTCACTTTATAACTGCTAATAGCATCCGCTACTGCATCGGTGTGAATGCCACTCAGACCTGTCTGATAGGCTTCTTGATCTAGAGGTTCTCTCTTGTAGCGCTGGACCTCCCTCTCTAGATCATGTATGTCCTTCCTGACAGGCCTGGGTGGGGGAGATTTATCCACCATATGATGGTTGGGATGACTCTCACGGTAACACCCAAGCAGGTACTGCAACGAAAGCATATGATTTTGCTGACGTAAGGGAAGGACTTTCGCCTCCTCATGTAGATGGTCCACTGGTGTCGTGAGAAGGTACCCTGTCGTAGTTCTCAGGGCAGCGTTCTGGCAGGTCTGGATATGCTTCCACTGCGATGCACTAGTATTCGTAGACCATACTGGAGCCTATCGCGTTATATGAAGTCAACAAGGTTTCTTTGTCCGCACCCCAAGTGCTGCCGGCTAGCGCCTTGAGGAAATTGTTCCTACTTTTTATCTTGTCGCAAATAGCTGTGGCTTGTGCGGAAGACTTGAACATGCTGTTGAACGTAACCCCAAGTATCTTGGGGTAGTTCGTGGTCGGTATTAGATTCCCCTCGACCTGAACATTCAGCTGTGTTCTCATCACCGCAGACCATGTGGTTAAGATATTTTCGTGGCGGATATTTTGATATTCCTCGCGTGGAAGTATGCGGCAAGCTCCGCGAGATAGGGGTTCAGCCTTTCGCATATGTCATCGACCACTAGGCCCGACGCCATGACCGTACAATCATCCGCACACGTTACGATCTCGATGCCGTCTGGAGGGCGCGGAATTCCGGAAAGGTAGAGGTTAAACAGTTCCGGAGATATCACCCCACCTTGGGGAAATCCCTGTTTTACTCTACGGGCTTTGGACTTCTTGTTCCGGGATTCCACGTACGACTGGCGTTCACACATTGTACAAGTTGCGATACAGGCGTATGGACTTGTAGGGGTTCTAAATCTACAGAGTAGATTTAGATCCGAAAGTGTATTATTTGTTGCACAAAGACGAACAACAAAACTATGAATATTAGACAACACAACAAGTATACAGGCGATACTTAAGCTGGAAATACATAAAGCGCTGACTTAAGCCAACGAAATATGCTCTTTATGTATTTCCAGCCTTACGTGTTGCTAATAAGGCACTGGTGGTTAAGGCTTCAATAAAACACTTGTTTTAATTAAAAGACTCTGACGGTCTGAATTTATATATTTATTAGTTGAAACTATTCTTTTTGTTGTGGCAAAGTTTAGCTTCTTGCTTCTTCTAGCTTAGCGATCAATCACTCTGGTCGACAGCAGCAATAGTTGAGGTATCGATTGTTGGCCTATCGGTGTAATGAACCAGGAACCTCAACACACATATAGTTGATTATCCAACGTTTCAAACTTGGCCGGAGTGTAGTTCTCTACACGTCTTCAAACAGTGTGGCTTGATTGACCGTATCAAATGCCTTTGATAGGTCAAGGGCTACCAACACTGTTCTGTCACACGGCCGGTTCTGGTTCAGTCCTCTACTAATATGTGTGGAAATGGCGTGTAATGCTGTTGTGGACGGAATCCGTGCTGGTGGTTGGCAACTGTATAGCTTCCTCTAATGCTGGGGAGGAGTAATGCCATGTTTACGTTAGAACTTTTTGTAGGGTTAACCTACTTTGAGAGGATTTATTTGAAGTAAAAATAGTGGATATGACAATTTAAATCCAAACCCAGTGGGTTAACCCTCATATATATAAACGTACTATAAAGCCTCAAGAGTCTTAGCTACTGCCGACAAAAGCGAAATCGGCCTGTACGATTCGCCTTTACTGGCATCCTTGCTTGGCTTCTGTAGCGGGACCACACGGCCCATTTCCCAGGTTTCGGGCCCAACGCTTTGGATGACTTAGCGTTACGGATGACATTTGCAACATCACCCATCGTAAACTGTGGTGGTTCCTCCTCGGCGGGAAGAGATCTGATACGACGTAGTACTCTTCGCTTCGCCCAATCGCTCTCGGGGTGCTCGACAAATTGTCGGTTAAAATATACCGCGCACCTCTTCTTATCAGTCACCGTTACGTCGTTAAAAGTGACTGAGGTCCTATCATCCTTTTTTCCTGAGGTCCTATCATCCTTTATGAAATCGGGCGACCTGCTTATGGAGACGATTATCGGGAGATGGTCTGAGCCAAGAGAAATTACGGGTTGCCAAGTCACGTCATTTATCAGACCGGGTGACACTATGGTTAAATCTGGCGAACTGTGACACTCTCCCCTTATTCGGGTGGGGGGCATCCTCGTTAACCGTGAAGAATGTGGAGCAGTCAATCTGCTCTGCCAGCGCCACAACTCATAGTGGGCATTAAAATCCCCTAGTACCAGGCGGTTATTGCCTACCAATAATGGGCTAATATCAGGCAAATAACGCGGTTCACAGCTATTAATCGGCGACCTCTACCTCGGCAGTTCCACACTTGACTGCTACCCCCATACATTCCATGTATGGGTGACTAGAGACTAGCTCAAGCGAGATAGGTCTGTACTGAACAGAATGGTGTAACAGGAACGCTAATCCCCCACCTCCACTTCTGGTGCGATCCTTCCTTAGTACATTGTAACCATAACAACGTTGTAGGCTGCAATTTTCATTCAGCTTGGTTTCCTGCACCGCTGCGATCTTAATTTTTGCTCCGACTCATAAATTCCACTATCTCATCTATTTTGCCTCGAGGTCCGTTGAGGATTTTGTACTTACCGCCGCTATTGCCGCACTTGGTACGTACTGAGCACCACTTTTTGCCTTGGCCCAATAGTTGACAGTTTCTGCATTTCACAATTCTGTTCCTTGGTCTTTTATGAAACTCCCATTCTTTTAAACTATAGGGTTTATAAAATCATTTTCGGGAGAAACAATATGATGTCACTTTTACCACCTATCGCCAACGTTGTTGTGAGAAAAATATTCGCCCGACTATGTGATGCTGTACACCATTATACATACCTAGTCTGGCCATCCGTAACAATAATATTAGATTTGAAGTATATCATGCCTATTACAATACCTATATATTGCGTATTGCGGCTTAAATTTGGGCTGGTACTACTTTACTGCTATTTTTAAATTGTGTGCGACCTTTAATTCCAAGTTCGTAAATATAAAATCAGGCGAAACAAATATATCGGCACTATAGCTAAAACTGAATCGTGAATTCATCCTATTTGGGCTGGTACTACTTGTTTGATTCACAAAAAACTTGAATCTGAAGGATTCACAAAGGTAACATAAAGTAAAAGATCGCGAGAATAGAGAAAATTGATAATTGTAAGATTTTTTAGTGTATTGATTTCAAAAACAAAGGCAAACAAATGAAGGCAAAATATAAACGACGGCTGCGGAAATGTTTATTTATGTCAAAGAAGAAAAATAAGAATCAAGTTACCAATCTCAAAAAATTTACCATTTTTGGTAGAATTCTACTAACTGTGGCAACTGTGTACAAAAAGCACAGCGCGCCGCCGCCGGTTTTTTTACATATGATAAGCCGCCGCCGTCGGTAAAATTATTGCGCTTCGTTGTCTCTTCGCAGGGCCTTTCGGTGTTGATATATATATGGCCATAGTGCCCTTAACTTCCAAATCAATCAGTTTTGCATTTCACCTGGAGCTCTTCAAACAAGTATCATAATGGTAAGCTGTCAAAATATAACGTCATAATAATAATTAAATAATTAGCAGACCATCTTGGATTTTGACAAAGACAACATCTTTAAAGGCGATTTAGTGCATTCTGGAGAATTGACTTTCATTTGACCTTTGCTGATTACGGAACTTATGGAATGTTGTTCAGTCCGCTTGCGATAATGCCTTATTTTGTTGTTTTTGTTGTAAGAACATTTGTAGCGGATAAAAAACTTGTTTGATTGAACATCTATTAACTTGACACAAATAGAAGAAAACTAATTGTTAATGTCAAGGTCTCGTAAAAGGAAAGGTTGGCGGGCTGATCAGAAAGTGTTCAAAAACTTGAAGGAAAAGTTTTCTAAGGATTAAGATCGAACTATAGATCCCTGCAATGAACAAGCATTAAATTTGAGCTCTGTCAAGAAAATAATTAAATATTTAAAATTGGAGATTTTTACAAATTGACTGGACTATTTCTTTTGGATATTGGTGTTTGAAGGTCTGGAGCTGTGGCTTTTGGTGGAGTTGGTTTTTCTTCTCACCTTTTTAACCTGTTGCTGTGCATTTTCGTTTGGCGCTCTTTTTTTTTTATTCATTTGCATCTGCCAAGGTAATCCTGAAAATGCCGTCGCTATTGACCTGTAATGTTTGTAAGGATCATATTGCCAAATCCAAATATAAAATTGGTTGCAAAGGCTGTGCAAATTTTTTCCATTTGGATTGCGTTGGCATTTCTGAGGCTGAGGCTAAAATAAATAAGCAACTCAGATACACTTGTGTGTGCTGTGTTCGGGCTGCTGGTGGTAGTGGTGACGCTGGTGTGGTTGATCGTGGAACAAAAGCGAACACTGCAGTTGATGCATCTAGGGTTGGTGCCACAGCTGATGCTTCTTTGAATGGTGGTGATGAGACAGTTGGTGTGGCTGCGTGTGATTTTGTTGGGAATTCAGATGCTCTGCGAGAGCTGCAGGATAACTTGATTTTGTCTATGAAACAACAAATGGACACGTATATGGCTAGATGTCTGTCTGAATTCCGTACCAAAACTGATGCTCTGTTTGATCTTTATAATGCACAAATATCTGAGGTAAAGCGTGATGTGGTTGAGCTTAAAAAGGCTGTAGTTGAGTTGAAGATGACAGTCTCTGAAGTTAAAAGTACGGCTTTGTTAGCAGAAAAGAAACTTGCTGATAGGATTTCTGAGCTTGAGTCTTTTAACAATGTGCTCCAGCGAAGGCTTAACAGAGCTGATATCATTATAAGAGGTTTGCCGGAAAATATTAAAGACCTCAGGAGCTTTGTTGTTAAAGTTGCTAATTTGTGTGGGTTGCAACTATCTCATGGCGACATGCAGCAGTGCTGTTACATATCTGAACGTAGAGCGGTTTTGGTGAAGTTTAATTCTATTCAGACAAGAGATTCCCTTATCCGCCGATTTGTTAAAAGAGGGAAGGTAACCCTAAAAGAAGTTATGGAGAATTGTCTATTGGAGTCCCGTATCTACTTAAATGATCATCTTGTTAAATCGGCATCTAGTCTTGTTTTTGCCTGCAGAGGCCTGCTCAAGAAGAAGAAGATTAAGAAATTCAGGTTGTTAAATAGTGATGAACCTCAAGTTGAGGTAATACTTGCTGATGGAAGTAAAACAATTTTTGAGCGACAAGAGCTTCTTGAATTTGCTCGTAGTTGTCCTCTGCAACCGGGTGGTGCTCCGTTGGTTGGTGATATGCTGCTGGGAGTGTAGTCATGTAATGTAAATATTAATTTTGTTTTGATCTCATTGGCAATTTAATTGTTTTCTTGATGCAAATTATTGCTTATTTGTTCTAAATAATCTTTCATATTATTATTTATTATTTATTTTTTTTTATTTATATATTTATATTTTTCAATTTTTAGTTTAAGATGCGAAATCGAATTTACATAATTTTGCTCCCCAGCCCCTTTATTTGGTTTGATGTCACTTGATGATAATCTGGGACCCATAATTAATGACGCTCACTTTTTTAAACCCTTATTTGAGGGTTTGTCTGGTAAACTAACGTATGGCCACTTGAACTGCCAAAGTATTCGCCCATCGAGATTCAATAATAAAATTGATGAGCTTCGATCCTTGCTGGTTGGTAGTGGTATCAGCATTTTTGGTGTCACTGAATCTTGGCTTAATTCTGCAGTCTCATCGAAATCGTTGGTTGTTCCAGGATATAAGCTGGTGCGGAGTGATCGTGTTGGTCGTGTTGGTGGTGGGGTATGTCTCTATATTGGTAGTGGCATTCCTTATAAGGTAGTTTTTCGCTCAAATAATTTTGGTGTTTGTGAGTCGGTGTGTGTTGAGTTGAATATTGGGGCATTGGTTTTGCTTGTGGCGGTAGTATATCTTCCCCATGGCGATGTTCAGTCTTTCTGTGATGTACATGAGAGTTTGTTTGATCGCTTCTCTAATATCATTGTCCTTGGCGATTTTAACTGTAATTTATTTGTGTCTTCGAACTCTGTTTCGATGAGAGGATTATGCAGATCATTGGGGCTAACTATTGTGCATAACATGAAACCTACCCATTATGATTTGGCCCATAACTCTACCTCGTTAATTGATTTTTGCCTTACTAGTGATAATTTGTCCTTGGGTTTCTCATCTCAGGGTCGATGTCCTGGTATATCGCACCATGCCTTTGTTTTTGGTTCGCTTAACCTGCCTGTATTTTCAGAGGAGAGATTTATTGAGTATCGTAACTTTGGCCGAGCGGATTGGTTGGGCATTTTAAATTTCATATCCGATTTTGACTTCAACCCCTTATATTCCACTTCTGATGTGAATTGTCAACTTTCACTATTTGATTTGTTGTTTAACGCGCTATTGTCTTTCGTTCCTGTTTCTGTTCGTAAGGTCAACCCCAGGAATGATGCATGGTTGGAATCTGATGTGGTAAAATCGGCACGGATGTTTAGAGATCTTGCGTACTTTGAGTGGCGCAAGCGACCTATGGAGGGTAATAGAATAATATATTGTATGTATAGGAATCGTTGTAAGGCTGTGATGAGGAATGAGAGGCGTAAGTACTATAATGATCTCTTTGGTCGTATGAATAATAATCAGCTGTGGAAATCTCTAAAGTCGTTTGGTGTTTTGGGTAGTGATAATGAAGCTCCACCAATTGATGTCAATGCTGCTAATCATTATTTTTCCAGTGGGAATCCTGGTTTTGTGGGTGAGCGTGGTCAGTCTCTTTATAGTGAGGGTCATGTGGGAGATGATGTTTTTCGGTTTTATTGCATATTTTATTCTGATGTTGTAAGGTCATTAAATAAAGTTAAGTCGGGAGCTGTGGGGGTTGATGGCGTGCCAGTAAAGTTTTTTAAACTTATATTTCCATACATTTCCTGTCATTTCCTGCATTTTGTTAACTCGATTTTTATGACATCTACTTTTCCTCGGGCGTGGAAGGTTGCACGAATTGTTCCTGTGCCGAAAACTGGTGAATCATTTGATTTGCCGAATCTGCGTCCCATTAGCATTCTACCTGCTATGTCAAAAATCGTTGAGCATATTATTAAAGAAGCGATTGTTGACTTCCTTGATGATCGTAGGCTATTGAGTAGTTCTCAGTTTGGTTTTCGGCGGCGATGTAGTACGACCACGCACTTATTATATCTTACTGACATGATCAGAGATGTATTTAATTCATCTGATGTTGGGTTATTATTGGGCCTTGACTTGTCAAAGGCTTTTGATTCGATAAACCATTCCCTTTTACTTGACAAGCTGAGGTTTAAGTTTGGTTTTTCATCTTCTGCGTGTCGTTTAATGGCTTCATATTTGGAAGGTAGGTCTCAGTTTGTTGTTCATTTGGGTGTTTCGTCTGAAGTTTGTAGTGTCCAATGTGGAGTCCCGCAAGGTTCTGTACTGGGACCGTTGTTATTTATTATGTTCATTAATGACATTGTGCACTCAGTTGTTGATGACAGGTGTTGTCTGTTTTTGTATGCAGATGATATTCATGTTTTCTTCAGAGAGGCTGATATTGCTGGGTTGGAAGGGTTGGTTAATTCTATTGTTTTGTCTCTTTCGTCGTGGATTTCGCTAAATGGCCTTATGATTAATTGGAATAAAACTAAAGCTATGCTGTTCAATGATCATGGTAATGGTGGTTCTCTTAATATTACTGTGGGTTCTGTGTTAGTGAAATTTGTTGATGAAATGAAATGTCTTGGTGTTATAATTGATCGGAAGTTGGACTTTAAGAGACACATTGATTCCTTGCTTTGTCGTATAAGGTTTCAGCTGCGGAGGCTGTATTGTCTTAATGCTTATTTGCCTTGTCATGTTAGGAAGAGAGTGGTTGTATCCTTGCTGCTATCGCAGGTAAATTATTGTCTAGAGGTAGTCTCCGGTACTACTTCTTCTCAAATGCAACGTATCCGTAGGGCGGTAAATTCGATTGTTCGTTATGTGTATGGCTTGCGTCGTGGTGATCATGTTTCTTGTTTTGTTAATGATCTCCTGGGATTGCCATTTAGCAGCTACATTGATCTTCGTATTCTTCAATTTCATTACAGTGTTATGTGCAATTTTGACTGTCCTCTTCGTGACAACTTTTTGTTTTGTAGATCATCTCGAAATCCTCAATTGTTGTGTCCAAGGTTTTCGTCCTCCATTGGTGAGAGATCATTTGTGGTTAGGGCGGTGAGATTGTGGAATCAGCTTCCTTTGGCCTTACGTACTTTTGCCCATACCAATTATCTGTTTAGGGTTAAAGTAATTGAATACCTTCGCCTAAATATGTAGGCTATGTTTTTGTAGTGGTTGCGTCGGTTTATTATGGGTCTTTCTTTTTGCTTTTCTTTTTGTTTGGGCTGGGGAGCCACTATATTATCTTCTTAATTTTATTTGTAGGGTATAATGTGAGTTACTATTTATACTCTGTTTTGTGAGTAATAAAATAGTTATCTCTTATTTTTAGCTCGTTTCTGCTACACTTTTTCACTGCTCTACTAGACTATTGTTT